CACCTCCACTCCTGAAATATATTTAATGTTTAATCCCATTTTTTTTTATTTATTTTCAGCTCACAAATGTGGGAATTAACCAAGCCTCCGTGAGCTTCAACTCGCTCACGATGGAGTCAGATAAATTTATCTGTGTGAAGGAGAAGATTGGTGATACATCGCAGGTGGTCATCATAGACATGGCTGACCCCACCAACCCCATTCGTCGGCCTATCTCGGCAGACTCTGCCATTATGAACCCTGCATCTAAAGTCATTGCCCTGAAAGGCAAAGCTGGTGTTGAAGGTATGTCATTTTGAACAATTGCTTTAAATATCGCTTGACCATCCATATCTTATATTTTGCTGTAATTTGTACCTCCTGTGAGACTCAATGCGCTAATGTCTGAAATATCTGCTTCCAGCCCAAAAAACTTTACAAATTTTCAACATTGAGATGAAGAGCAAAATGAAGGCGCACACCATGACAGAAGATGTGATTTTCTGGAAGTGGATTTCTTTGAATACCCTTGCCCTTGTCACAGAAACCTCAGTCTTTCATTGGAGTATGGAAGGTGAGTTATTTAAATTTATCAAAAAGTGCATTGCTTATATTGCATTATTAATTTTAATCTTATATTTCCAATCTAATTTTTTTCCTCCAGGTGATTCTGTTCCTCAGAAGGTCTTTGACCGTCATTCCAGTTTGAATGGATGCCAGATCATCAACTACCGCACAGACCCCAAGCAGCAGTGGTTGCTACTCATCGGAATATCTGCCCAACAGAATCGTGTTGTTGGAGCAATGCAACTTTACTCTGTGGAACGCAAATGCTCACAACCTATTGAGGGCCATGCTGCTTCCTTTGCACAGTTCAAAATGGAGGGAAATGCTGAGCTTTCTACCCTCTTCTGTTTTGCTGTGCGCACGGTTCAAGGAGGGAAGTTGCATATTATTGAAGTTGGTCAACCACCTGCTGGAAATCAGCCATTTACCAAGAAAGCAGTTGATGTATTTTTTCCTCCAGAAGCACAAAACGACTTCCCTGTAGCAATGCAGGTATAAATTATTGTAACTTATTTCAAAATTAAGTATAACATGAGGGTTTTCACCAACTTTGATTATTTTCTTAAATTCTAGGTGAGCTCAAAGTATGATGTCATCTACCTGATCACCAAGTATGGTTACATTCACATGTACGATATTGAAACGGCAACTTGTATCTACATGAACCGCATTTCTGGAGATACCATCTTTGTTACTGCCCCTCATGAAGCATCTGGCGGTATTATTGGTGTCAACAGGAAAGGACAGGTAACTTGATAAATCATTTTTTAGAGACTTAGAGATTTTAAAGGAGCACTAATTGTCATATTGTTTTGTTCAGGTCTTGTCAGTGTCTGTTGAGGAAGATAATATTATACCATACATCAATACTGTGCTCAACAATCCCGACCTGGCCTTGCGAATGGCAGTCCGTAACAACTTGGCAGGTGCTGAAGATCTCTTTGTTCGCAAGTTTAATCAGCTTTTCCAAAATGGAAGCTACACAGATGCAGCTAAAGTTGCTGCTAATGCTCCTAAAGGCATTCTTCGAACACCAGTCACCATTGCCAAGTTTCAGCAAGTCCCTACTCCTGCTGGGCAGACATCACCTCTCCTGCAGTATTTTGGAATCCTTTTGGATCAGGGACAACTCAACAAGTTTGAATCTCTAGAATTGTGTAGACCAGTGCTTCAACAAGGTCGTAAGCAGTTGCTGGAGAAATGGCTCAAAGAAGACAAGTTGGAATGCTCCGAAGAATTGGGAGATCTTGTAAAGCAGGCTGATCCTACTTTGGCCCTTTCTGTCTACCTCCGTGCGAATGTGCCCAATAAGGTAATCCAATGCTTTGCTGAAACAGGACAATTCAGCAAAATTGTTTTGTATGCCAAGAAGGTTGGCTACACTCCTGACTATGTGTTTTTGCTCCGCAATGTGATGCGTATTAACCCAGACCATGGTGTGTCATTTGCCCAAATGCTTGTGCAAGATGATGAGCCACTTGCTGACATAAACCAAATTGTAGACATCTTTATGGAGCAGAACATGGTTCAACAATGCACAGCCTTCCTTTTGGATGCCTTGAAGAACAACCGGCCTGCTGAAGGTCCTCTTCAGACACGACTGCTGGAAATGAACTTGATATCAGCACCTCAAGTTGCTGATGCAATTTTGGGTAACTCAATGTTTACTCATTACGATCGAGCCCATATTGCCCAGCTCTGTGAGAAAGCTGGATTATTGCAGCGTGCGCTAGAGCACTATACTGACTTGTATGATATTAAGCGTGCTGTTGTTCACACTCATCTTCTTAGTCCCGACTGGTTGGTGAACTTCTTTGGGACTCTTTCTGTGGAAGATTCTTTGGAATGCTTAAAGGCAATGCTGACAAATAATATTAGACAGAACTTGCAAATTTGTGTTCAGATTGCGACCAAGTATCATGAGCAGCTGACGACCAAAGCTTTAATTGATCTTTTTGAGTCCTTCAAGAGTTACGAAGGTCTGTTCTATTTCTTGGGCTCCATTGTCAACTTCAGTCAAGATCAAGAGGTGCATTTCAAGTACATTCAAGCAGCTTGCAAGACTGGTCAGATCAAGGAAGTGGAACGAATTTGCCGAGAGTCCAATTGCTACAGTCCTGAACGAGTCAAGAACTTCCTGAAAGAAGCTAAACTTACTGACCAGCTCCCTCTGATCATAGTATGTGATCGCTTTGACTTTGTTCATGATTTGGTCTTGTACTTGTACCGGAACAATCTTCAGAAATACATAGAGATCTATGTGCAAAAGGTTAACCCATCAAGACTACCTGTTGTAATTGGAGGCCTTCTTGATGTTGATTGCTCTGAGGACATCATCAAAAACTTGATTCTTGTTGTCCGTGGTCAATTCTCCACTGATGAGTTGGTTGAAGAAGTAGAGAAGAGGAACCGCCTGAAGCTGCTTCTTCCCTGGCTTGAGTCCCGTGTCCATGAAGGCTGTGTAGAGCCTGCCACCCACAATGCGTTGGCTAAGATTTATATTGATAGCAACAACAATCCAGAAAGATTCTTGAAAGAAAATCAGTTCTATGACAGCAGGGTTGTAGGAAAGTACTGTGAAAAGCGTGATCCACATTTGGCTTGTGTTGCATATGAGAGGGGACAATGCGACCGAGAACTTATCAATGTGTGCAATGAAAATTCACTCTTCAAGTCTGAGGCACGCTATTTGGTCAGGAGACGTGATGCAGAATTGTGGGTGGAAGTTTTGAATGAAAGCAACCCTTTTAAGAGGCCTCTTATTGATCAAGTTGTACAAACTGCCTTATCTGAAACTCAAGATCCTGAAGACATATCTGTCACTGTCAAAGCTTTCATGACAGCTGACTTGCCTAATGAATTGATTGAACTCCTGGAGAAGATAGTCCTAGACAACTCTGTTTTCAGCGATCACCGCAACCTTCAAAACCTCCTCATTCTTACTGCCATCAAGGCTGATCGGTCTAGAGTAATGGAATACATCAACCGTCTTGACAACTACGATGCTCCTGATATTGCCAACATTGCTATCAACAACCAATTGTATGAGGAAGCTTTTGCCATTTTCAAGAAGTTTGATGTCAACACATCTGCAATTCAAGTTTTGATTGACCATGTTGACAACTTGGATAGAGCTTATGAATTTGCTGAACGCTGCAATGAACCAGCAGTTTGGAGTCAGCTGGCCAAGGCTCAACTTCAGAAAGGTTTAGTGAAAGAGGCTATCGACTCCTTCATAAAGGCTGATGATCCCTCTGCTTACATGGATGTGGTTGAGACTGCTCACCGTACAGAGAACTGGGAAGATCTGGTCCGTTACCTTCAAATGGCACGCAAGAAGGCAAGAGAAAGTTACATTGAATCTGAACTCATCTATGCATATGCCCGCACAAACCGTTTGGCCGATTTGGAAGAGTTTATCTCTGGTCCTAACCACGCTGATATCCAGAAAATTGGTGACCGTTGCTTTGACGACAAGATGTATGATGCTGCCAAGCTTCTGTACAACAATGTCTCCAATTTTGCTCGTCTTGCTATCACATTAGTTCACTTGAAAGAATTCCAAGGTGCTGTTGATGGAGCACGGAAAGCTAACAGCACTCGCACATGGAAAGAAGTTTGCTTTGCATGTGTTGACAGTGAAGAATTCCGTCTCGCCCAAATGTGTGGTTTGCACATTGTTGTACATGCTGATGAGTTGGAAGATTTAATCAACTATTATCAGGATCGTGGATATTTTGAAGAGCTCATCAATTTATTGGAAGCAGCTCTGGGATTGGAAAGAGCACATATGGGCATGTTCACCGAATTGGCTATCTTATATTCCAAATTCAAGCCTGGAAAGATGAGGGAGCATCTTGAGCTTTTCTGGTCTCGGGTCAACATTCCCAAGGTATTAAGAGCTGCTGAGCAGGCCCACTTGTGGGCAGAATTGGTGTTCTTGTATGACAAGTATGAAGAATATGACAATGCTGTCATGGCCATGATGACTCATCCTACAGAAGCATGGCGTGAAGGCCATTTCAAGGATATTATTACGAAGGTTGCCAACATTGAATTGTATTACAAAGCAATTCAGTTTTACATGGATTACAAACCATTGTTGCTGAATGATATGCTACTTGTTCTGGCTCCTCGTATGGATCACACTCGAGCTGTGAACTTCTTCACCAAAACTAAGCACTTGCAGTTAGTGAAACCTTACCTTCGTTCAGTTCAATCATTGAACAACAAAGCAATAAATGAAGCTCTTAACAATCTTCTGATTGAAGAGGAAGACTATCAAGGACTACGCACATCAATTGATGCTTTTGACAACTTTGACAACATTGCCCTAGCTCAAAAACTGGAGAAACACGAACTTACGGAGTTCCGCAGAATTGCTGCTTACCTGTACAAGGGAAATAACAGATGGAAGCAGAGTGTGGAGCTTTGTAAGAAAGATCGCCTTTACAAAGTAAGTTTTAATTTAAACTGACAGTCTTTATTGATTTATCTCTTTTTTGAAGTTTGTTTAACTTATTTTCTTTAACCTTTTTAAGGATGCAATGGAATATGCAGCAGAGTCCAAAAACCCAGAACTTGCAGAGGAATTACTTGCTTGGTTCTTAGAGAAGGGTTCTTTTGATTGCTTTGCCGCATGTTTATTCCAATGTTATGATTTGTTGCATCCTGATGTCATCTTGGAGCTTGCTTGGAGACATAACATTATGGACTTTGCCATGCCTTACCTCATACAAGTTATTAGAGAGTACATTTCAAAGGTAATTTGAGTTTCACACATTCTAATTTGCTAAACCAAAATTTACTTTACTAATCACTTGACTTTTAGGTGGACAAACTAGAGGAGGCAGAATCACAAAGAGCAACAGAGACAGAAGAACAGGATCACAAGCCAATGATGATTCGTAAGTAAATCCTTCACCTGTCAATTTTATCAAACTTCTCAGGCTGTCCCTTTAATTTGTGTCTTTTTATTTCTTTGCAGAAGAAGCACAGCTCATGTTGACTGCAGGTCCTGGTATGATGCCTGCTTATAGCCCAGCTTATTCCGCTGGTTATACAGCACCTGGCATGCCCTACCAAGGTTATGGCATGTAAATACAATTAGAGCTTGTGCTCTGCTGCCTGTGATGGCTCTGTCCTTGACTTAGATGGTATAAATGCTATATATTGTATATTTGTGGTTGCAAGGCAAACCTATATAAATCTGACAATATGTCTTATATCTGTTCTAAAAAAAACCTCCAATGAATATTTTTCTGGTTACTTTTTTCTTTTCCATCCCCATAGATGGTAGTGGATATGAACAAAAGTAATCTGGTGTTTCATTCCAGATGCTGTAGCTAAGCGTGAGAGATCTTAATTTTAAGAATGTAATTGTGGCTAATTGATTTTTTTTTTGTGCAATCTTTATAAAAATGTAAATTGTTTTGAACAATTGTGCACGCTTAAATGAACTTTTGATGCCTGTTAATAACGGTGATAGATGTTAGTGATGAGACCACCAAACGAATTGTTTTAATCTAAAAATTGCTTTTAAGTGCTCATCTGTTTTTACTTTTGCATTTTGTTCTTATCTAGACAGTTGTTATTTATTTGTTACTTTACCAGAGGAAGAGTACTATGTAAAGAGAAATTCAAATTTATGAAAGGCTTGCAAATGTCGTTAGATGGTAAGTGGTTATTATGCTTGTGCTCTCATTTTATTTAGCACCTCAGTAAAGAGTGGAACTATTTTTAATGTTGTTTTTTAACAGAATTCAGTGTTCTGTTATGTTGTTGGCCCATTGTTGTAGATATCCGTACTATTGTATGTAATCCAGTGCTACTTATGTTTTGCATCAAATGTGTGCTGCTCTTCTGAATCTATTGTGATCTATGACACATTAATTCTTGTTTCAAATGAATTCAGCACTAGTGATGTAAAGAAATGATTCTTGTATTGTCCGACTGTATCAATAAACCTTACAGAGTATTGTCGACCAAACAATTCTCATTAATGCCTCTGCTTTGAACTAAATTTTCCATTGAATGTGTTCATTGAGCTATTCTCATCACTCTTCTGTAACTAAACCTATCTTCAATGTCAATTGCCTTTGTACGAGTACTTTTGAAATCGGTAAATCAACGGTAGAACTTACAAGATGAATCAATTCTAACTGCTATCAAATATCAAATCACCACGAAATTGCCTGGCCTAATGAATATAGACATCTGATGTTTACCATCTTGAGCATGGACCGTTATACCGTTCATAGTTCCATAAGGTTCCACCGACAATCCAAAAAGATCAAATAATTCCGCGCTTAATGCTCGACTCTAAGCCCCAGAAGAATAACGACATCTCC